CTTGTACATGCATGTGTAGTGTGACCTAAGTGTAAGTAGAAGTAGCAAGACGTACCTGAAATCTTGCATGCTCATGAGACAGAAAAAAGGACACCAACAATCCTACCATCATGTAAAACAATTACAGGCTTTCGTTTTACACTCACTTGGCAGGACAGTAGTACCTTCCTGGGCAGTTGCTGTCTACCAATCTACTACCTAGGATATACATATCTTCTTTCTTTCAACAAACCGGCCGTATCCCACTGAGGCAGGGTGACCCAAAAAGAAAAACAAAAGTTTCTCTTTTTAACTATAGCAATGTATACAGGAGAAGGGGTTACTAGGCCCTTGCTCCCGGCATTTTAGTCACCTCTTACAACATGCATAGCTTACGGAGGAAGAATTCTGTTCCACATCCCCATGGAGGTAAGAGGAAATGAACAAGAACTAGTAAGAAAATAGAAGAAAACCCAGAGGGGTGTGAATATATATGCTTGTACATGTATATGTAGTGTGACCTAAGTGTATGTAGACGTACCTGAAATCTTGCATGTTCTTGAGACAGAAAAAAGGACACCAGCAATCCTACCATCATGTAAAACAATTACAGGTTTCCGTTTTACACTCACTTGGCAGAATGGTAGTACCTCCCTGGGCGATTGCTGTCTATCAACCTACTACCTAGGATATACAGGAGGGCCCCGCTTTACGGCGTTCCGCTTTACGGCGTTCCGCTAATACGGACATTTCAAATTATGACCAAAACTCACTATACGGCTCCCCCCACCTGACTTTCTAATACGGTCACCGTGCCCCACCCTGTTTGTTTACATTCTCCATGAGCTCAGTAAGCACTAAGTCTCTCCATTTTGTCTGGAAACTCCAAAATTTCAAATGTTTTTAAAAGTTATTTCATATTTTATATATACTCTGATAATTATACTTATGTATACCTGTACCTAAATAAACTTACATACATCGAGTCATTTAAATGTCGTATATTACGTTAATATACACATTTTCATTAATCCATCCATGATATTTTTTTCAAAATTATAATAATAAACACGATGCATAACATATAAATAAGATAAATACACCCCACAGTAGAATAAATAAACAAATGTGAGATGTGAGCAGACGACTTGCACAAGTGGTGATAATAACAATACTGAGTCTCATTAAATGTCGTATATTACGGTAATATAACACATTTTCATTAATCCATCCATGATATTTTTTTCAAAATTATATAATAAACACGATGCATAACATATAAATAAGATAAATACACCCCACAGTAGAATAAATAAACAAATGTGAGATGTCGTAGCAGACGACTTGCACAAGTGGTGATAATAACAATACTGAGTCTCATTAAATGTCGTTATTACGGTAATATACACATTTTCATTAATCCATCCATGATATTTTTTTCAAAATCATATAATAAACACGATGCATAACATATAAATAAGATAAATACACCCACAGTAGAATAAATAAACAAATGTGAGATGTCGTAGCAGACGACTTGCACAAGTGGTGATAATAACAATACCGAGTCTCATTAAATGTCGTATATTACGGTAATATACACATTTTCATTAATCCATCCATGATATTTTTTTCAAAATTATATAATAAACACGATACATAACATAAAAAGATGATAAATACACCCCACAATAGAATAATAAACATAAATATAAGATGTGGGAGCCACATAACTTGTACAAGTGACGCCAAGAATAACATTTTCTCTAATCTAACATAAGAGTAAATGTGTTACTGGGGGTAACTGTAGAAAATTATTCCTTTCGTATGTATGTAAGTAAGTTTATTCAGGTATACACAAATACAGTTACATAGATTATCATACATAACAACATACGTGTAGAGAACCTAGGATAACCCAAAAAAGTCAGTGTGACTTATTTCCATTGCCTTCACTCAGAGCTTCATTTCTTCTCAAAATGATGTTACATGAGAATGGGAGTGTTCTTCTTTATTAATTCTACCGTATCAATGTAGAGACAACCTGTACACAATGTAACTTGTACACAAACCAGACGTGTACACTTCGTTTGTTTACAAAACTTACCTTCCCCTGGTTTGTTTACATAACTGCGCCTGCCCCCTCTCATGTATTCATTCTTTCTCTCTCTCATTTATTCGTTTTATCTCATTTACTTACTTCTGACCCTACATTAAGACTACAAATATTTTAAGGTAAGTAATGAGTGAACTGTATATACATTTTATCGCTCTGGGATGCTTAAATATCATAGAATAGTATGTGTGGGTGGGGTGGCCTGGTGAGGCTATTACAATACATACCACACTTGATTTCTTACAATAAATACTACTTGTCTCACCCTAGATTAAGACTATAAATATTTTAAGGTAAGTAATGAGTGCACTATGTGTGTATTGTACCTTTTTATTGTTTTTTGATGCCTGGTTCTATTGCTAACTTAATATATGTTAGTGTAAACTTGTTATCTAGTGTTTGTATGCATTTATAAGTGGAAAAAAAGGGTGTTCCACTTTACGGCGATTTCCGCTTTACGGCGGTAGCCTGGAACCTAACCCGCCGTATAAGTGGGGCCCTACTGTACATATCTTCTTTCTTTCAACAAACCGGCCGTATCCCACCAAGGCAGGGTGGCCCAAAAGGAAAAACGAAAATTTCTCCTTTTACATTTAGTAATATATACAGGAGAAGAAATTACTAGCCCCTTGCTCCCGGCATTTTAGTCACCTCTTACAACACGCATGGCTTACGGAGGAAGAATTCTGTTCCACTTCCCCATGGAGGTAAGAGGAAAATAAACAAGAACAATAATTAGAAAGAAAATAGAAGAAAACTCAGAGAAGTGTGTATATTTATGTTTGTACATGTATGTGTAGTGTGACGTAAGTGTAAGTAGAAGTAGCAAGACGTACCTGAAATCTTGCATGTGTATGAGACAGAATAAAAAGACACCAGCAATCCTACCATGACGTAAAACAATTACAATTTGCAGGACGGTAGTGACTCCCTGTGCGGTTGCTGTCTACCAACCTACTACCTCTATATATATACAGTGGAACCTTGAAAATCGAACGTACCAAATATCGAACGTTTCGAAAATAAGACCATTTTTTTGGACAACTGTGTACCAAAAATCGAACGTGTTTCAAATTTCAGACCGCCGGGTATGGGACCTGTCCACTGGCCCGCTCTGTCTGTGTCCCTGCGCAGGCGCCGTGAGCAGTCTAGCTTTGTTTATGTTTGAGTGAACACTCTCAAACTGGTCCTAGTGGCATTAAAAGACAGAGAAGGGAAGTAACCCCAGAGAGGGCTGTACCTGAAGTCCTCATGGAGAGGGATTCTCCTTCCAAACAATAACCCCAACTCCCTCTCTCCTCCTCCCTATCTTCCAGATGCCATCACCAATCTTCAATAAAGGTAAGTAAAAATGTTATTTTATATTATATGTATGTATTATTTTATATGTATGTTATTTTATATGTATGTAAAACTGTAATTAATTTCTACAAAATGTATTTTTTGTGTGAATATTTTTGGGTTTCTGGAACGGATTAATTGTATTTCCATTATTTCTTATGGGAAATATTGATTCGAATTTCAGACTTTTCAAAATTAGAACTAGCTCCTGGAACGGATTAAGTTCGATTTTTGAGGTTCCACTGTATAATATATATATATATATTCTTCTTCTTTCAACAAACCGGCCGTATCCCACTGAGGCGGGGTGGCCCAAAAGGAAAAACGAAAGTTTCTCCTTTTACATTTAGTAATATATACAGGAGAAGAGGTTACTAGCCCCTTGTTCCCTGCATTTTAGTCACCTCTTACAACACGCATGGCTTACGGAGGAAGAATTCTGTTCCACTTCACCATGGCAATTTTCTAAGGTTCGGCTTACATCCATTTTGACTTACGACCGGTTGATTGGAACTGAGCTTGGTCGTAAGTAGGATGGTAGGTGTATTTATAAGTGGAAAAAATGGTGTTCTGCTTTCCAGTGGTAGCCTGGAACCTAACCTGCGGTATAAGTGGGGCCCTACTGTACGTTATCAACAATGGCCTCTAAAGCAAGCTATGGTGCCATGAAAAAGCATGTGACCTTAACTGTTAAGCAGAAACTTGAATTAATGAAGAAGCTGGAGGCTGGCATTTCAGTGGCCTGGGTGTGCGAGGAACATGGTGTAGCAAAACAGTGTCTGACATTCATAAAAGTAATAAAAGAACTTAGTAAATATACTACTAAGTACAGTGTAGATGCCAGCCATCTACGTGTATGACTCACAACAATGTAATAACACGATTGCAAACAAACCACAGTAAGGGTGAGATTTGAACCCATGGCAAGTGAGTCATAAAACTCCAGCCCAGTGCACGTGGCTTACACATTGGCTTGGAGTTTTACGACTCACTTGTCATGGGTTCAAACCCCACCCGTACTGAGAATAAGTTATTCTGGGTCACCACTAGACCAAACAGGAATACTGAACATCTGTAAGCTCATCTATCCACCAGAATAGTTAAGAAAAATTTCTGTAATGCACTCTATTGTATTTTGCTGTATTTTTAATTCATGTTCTTTTCAAGTACAGACACAGGTATTACTGTACTGTACTCTAATTTATTCTTAATTTGTTTTACTGGCAACTGTCCATGTTTGGTAATCAATCAATTCAGTGGACTACATCCGCTTAATCAAAACTTTCAAAATAACAAATTTTCGCTAAATCTGACACCTTTTTATTGAAGGCTTACTGTATAAAATTTAATTTCCATGGTTTCTTGCATTAATAAGGTCACATGTGTCAAGCTTGATTTTCTTTATCTTGTTTAAGTATATTCCTGCAGCTCATATATCATGACATCCCTCATACAATTAAGACTCCCTTGCTCTGCCTTCCCATCTTACCTACATACTTATGATACTGTTTTTAAATTCTTTTATATAATCAATTAGAAAACAAAAGTGAAAGCTCTGTCTCACCTTCCGAAGAATTTCTTCTTTGTCTAATTCATTCTGCAAGGTTTCATCTATTTCGTGTAAAACATTTTCTTCAACATTACTAAGGTGAAGAGGCTGCAATAAAAGAAATATACTATATAATATATCAAATGATAATTAACATTTGTAATCTAGCAGATAGGAAAGAGCTTAGATAATTAGGACAATGAGACCCCCTACAATAAAATTTCCATAAATGTAACATGCACAAAAATTAGGCAAATGCAGTTTGAAAATACAGTAGATTGTCGATAAAGACATGATTATTTTTTTTCAGGATATTTTCACTATATGATGGTTGAAGAGTTGTGGCAGTTTTTTGATCATTATGCCGTGATGTTTATGATGATGACACTATAGAAAAAATAGCTTAAAGCCCGTACAAATGGCTAGTAACTGATAATTTCAATGGATTAGCAAAGTGCTGTGCCATTGACAGTCATTCACTTACCACAGCTGTATTTGCACAAATGTTGAATATGTTAGCAACTGATATCAGCGTGGAAAGTATAGTAAGTAAACTAGAATGTGAACGAAAAGCCTTGAGGCACTGCCATGATAAATGTTTGTGTCTGAAGTTCATAGGGCCACCACAGTATACACCATTTATATTGAATTTTTTTTATCACCATGTCATTACATGGAGTGTTTTCATATTATATGCATGATCTGGGTTAAAATGTGAGGATACTACAGATAACTGAGAGGGACTCCAAGATTAATATACCCTTTACTTCCTTCCATTTGCATTATCGTGGTAATAATGAAAGGAAACTAAATACAGCGTAAATACAGTATCTTGTGTATACTGAATATACTGTGCATCAATTCAGTGGTTGAACTTCTGTTCAGTGAAAATAAATAACTTAGATATTTGGGGTTCAGAGGAACTGTCCCCATCCATGAGTGACTCCTACCAGTGTATATCCTCTGTTCTCTTCCCCTGTGTAATCAGAATTAAAAAAATGAAAGGAACCTGGTTGTAATGTGTATACAGTACCTACTTCATGTACATTTGTGCATCATTTCAGTTGGTACACTCATATTTTGTGATAAAAAAACAATGTATGTGGGGGAGGTGCTGATAGTGGTGCTATTAACCCGTAAACGGTCCAGGCAGATCTACGTTCACATGTGTAGTGCTCCAAAAGTAGATCTACATTTTTTTACATTTTCAAATATAACAAAAAAAAAAAAAAAGTAGATCAAAGTTTTTTTACACAGTTTCAAACGTAAAAAAAAAAAATCTACTTTTTTTATATACTTTCAAATGTTGAAAAAACGTATATAGTATACGTTTGGACCGTTTACGGGTTAAGGGCCACCATGGCACGAGACTAACACTACCTTTATTACTGAAAATGCAAAATAAATGATACTTTATTTTTTTATTTAAAAAATTTATTAATATGTACTAAATAGTTTTTTTTTTTTTTATTTTACAAAAATCGGTAGTCACTTTCACCGCAGAGGGTGAAAAAAAAACTGGATCATCACCAACTTTAAACCCAATAATACTGACACAGACTGACTACCTGAGGTTTCACTCATGATTGTATCATTTTCACTATTTTTGGAAGCTTGCATTCAGATATACGGATAATCACTCTGGCATAACATATAAGTAACAATCATATCTCTAACTGGCCAATATACAATTTTATTGCAGCTTTGATTCTATTTCGGTTTGAAGGACAATAAAATAATTTGTGAATCCCATTCACTAATATTATCTGACTCACATTCCAACAGATCGTCAGGTCCCAGTATTCATTCGTCTCCATTCACTCCTATCTATAACGCTCACGCACGCTTGCTGGAAGTCCAAGCCCCTTACCCACAAAACCTCCTAATTAACCCCCTCTCTTTCCAACCCTTTCGAGGACGACCCCTCAACCACGCACTTCCTTCCCCTATAGATTTAATGCTTTCCATGTTAATTCTAATTTGAACCATTCATCTCTTAAATGACCAAACCACCTCAACAACCCCTCTTCTGCCCTCTGACTAATACTTTTATTAACTCCACACCTTCTCCTAATTTCCACACTCCGAATTTTCTGCATAATATTTACACCACACATTGCCCTTAAACAGGACATCTCCACTGCCTCCAACCGTCTCCTCGCTGCTGCATTTACCACCCAAGCTTCACACCCATATAAGAGTGTTGGTACTACTATACTTTCATACATTCCCTTCTTTGCCTCCATAGATAACATTAAATAGTTTTATATTTACAAAAACATTCTGGTAGCCACTTTCACAGCAGAGATGTAAACAAAAACCCTTGGATCATCACAACTTTAAACCCAATAATAACTGACACAGACTGACTACCTGAGGGTTTTCTCATGATTTTATCATTTTTCATATTTTTTGGGATAGCTTGCATTCGTATTATACTGGATAATACTCTGGGCATATTAATTTAGTAAAAGATCTTGTCTTCTGGCTGGTGATATATGGCAATTTTATTGATGTTTGATGGTGATTGTGGTTGTGAAGGAAGCAAGTAATAATTGTAGAACTCATTATCATATTTTTGGGATAGTTTACATTTGTATTATGCTGGATAATACTCCGGGCATATTAATTTAGTAAAAGATCTTGTCTTCTGGCTGGTGATATATGGCAATTTTACTGATGTTTGATGGTGACTGTGGTTGTGGAGGAGGCAAGTAATAATTGTGGAACTCACTACCATATTTTTGCACAAGGTCATATATAGCCTCTAGACACATTCATATTAACAAGAAACAACAACTATAACACAATGAATAAAAATGTGATTACTTTTAAGTTTTGATGTATTACAAAGCTTTAAAAAATGCATTTTTGAGGGGGGGTCCAACGATCATAACCCTATTTTCCCCCCACGTGTTCTACAGTTCCTTTTTGATTAGATGCCGTTGTCAGGAATGCAAGTACTGTATTGTCATAATCGACAATAACTGTACTATAAAAATTTACAAGTCACCTGTTTTATAGAAGAATCAGTTCACTGAAAATATAAATCTTCTTAACCCTTTCACGGTCCACACGGTCCAAGAATTTTCAAGAAAGTTTTTTGTCATTTTTTCTCATGAAATGGTAGAATCTTTTTCTGAAGGTAATAAAACAAAAAGTCTGAAACATGATGGAAAATTGATGAAATTATGCTCTCACAAATTTTGCTGCGTCAGTGACATTTACACATCAGCGATTTTGCCCACTTTGACTCTCATTTTAGACCAGTTACATCATTCCAGTCAACCAAATTCTTAGCTATTTTGCTACTATTACTTCTATTTTACCAACTGAGCACTACTATTTCAACTACCCAATAAACTGATCGGAAATTCGTAATATAGCCAATTTCACACAAAGTTCAAAATATTCCAATTTCAAAATAGGGTCCAGAAAAAACAATGCAGGCATTCCTGGCACTAAAATAACATTTCCTCTGTTTATTAGTTACATTTCAAGGCTTTATAAATGAATTCCGTATTGATTTTTTATTCATATAATGAATTTTTATTCGCAACAAAAAATAGAAGATTTACTGTTATGCAATATTGTAAGAATTAAATAACATCAGCACATTTGTGAACATATATTAAACCCACCAGTTGATGTGTATTGGATGCATGACGTCATATGTTTACTCCCGAACACTGGCAAAAATTGAACATTTCTGTTACTTTGAACTCAATTTCAAGCCATTGTCAGTACTAAAACCAATCAAAATCATCTTTATTTCTGTAATATATCTTCCATTCTATCAAATGAGACCAAGACATCGTGAATACAAATGTAAAAATCATACAAATATACACTGCAAACTTGCTGTTTTAATCCAAAAACACATTTGCAGTTTTTTTCTCATTATGCACTGCGTGCTGCAGGATGTTTTATATGGTGCACACTTACCACATAAATGCATTTTCTCATATCTAGGCCCAAATTTATCACTCACAGCTTATCTGGGTGAGCTGAACTCACGGTGTAGAACTATGGCTTGGACCCTGGTTTCAAAGCCGTAGAACTATGGACGGACCCTCGAAGGGCTAAAAGGTGCAAAAATACACTTCCTTGCTTTGAATGGCTTTTCAGAACAATTATAAAACTAATCTACTCATTAATTATACACTTTTTATAAGCAATGTGCCTGTTTTACATTAACTACCATACAGAAGAAAACATCAGGCATCAGGAAAAACAGGCACTAATAAGATGAAAAGGTTAATAGGAAACCAACTAAAATTTTGAAGTTCACCTAAGGGATAATTAGAACATCTCCAGAGGCTTAGCAATGTTACAATGAGAATCAATGCTGCCTATATTTTGATGGACTGGTATTTGTAATACAGGACAAATGAACTAAGAATATTATATTAAAGAATTTAAAAACTACCACAAGAAAACAAACCATACCCCGGCCGGGATTGAACCCGCGGTCAGAGAGTCTCAAAACTCCAGACCGTCACGTTAGCCACTAGACCAGCTAGCCACGATAAGATTCGTCCAACTAGGTATATTTCTACACCATAGGAAGGTTAGCATAGGCACCACTGTGACCACAAATGGTTTGTTTGCAATCGTGTCATTACGATTTCGTGAGTCATGTTGACGGCAGTGAGGGGACTTGAGCTAGAGTTCGTCACGGCCACGCTAGCTGGAGATTCTTCTGTAAAAACTTGCATTTGTGGTCACAGTGGTGCCTATGCTAACCTTCCTATGGTGTAGAAATATACCTAGTTGGACGAATCTTATCGTGGCTAGCTGGTCTAGTGGCTAACGCGACGGTCTGGAGTTTTGAGACTCTCTGACCGCGGGTTCAATCCCGGCTGGGGTATGGTTTGTTTGCAATCGTGTCATTACGATTTCGTGAGTCATGTTGACGGCAGTGAGGGGACTTGAGCTAGAGTTCGTCACGGCCACGCTAGCTGGAGATTCTTCTGTAAAAACTTGTATTTGTGGTCACAGTGGTGCCTATGCTAACCTTCCTATGGTGTAGAAATATACCTAGTTGGACGAATCTTATCGTGGCTAGCTGGTCTAGTGGCTAACGCGACGGTCTGGAGTTTTGAGACTCTCTGACCGCGGGTTCAATCCCGGCCGGGGTATGGTTTGTTTGCAATCGTGTCATTACGATTTCGTGAGTCAAGAAAACACAACTTTCCATTAACCCCCTTTCAGAGTTCCTAACATCGATCTACAACATAAATGCCGAGGTCCTTCATGAAGATCTACGTTTTGAGCTCAGCTCCCTCAGATAAGCTGTGAACGGTAAATTTTGGCCTAGATATAAAGGAATTGATCAGTGCAGAGAGAATGCATAGAATAAAACAAACAAACAAACAAAAAAAACCTGCCCCATGCATTGTATGATAGGAAAAGCAAAACTCAGACCTTGTGTTTGACTGAAAATAGCACTTTGCTTTCTAGGTTGGATTTTATGAATTTACTGGCTGTTTCTTGGTATCATATAACAGAATTGAAGACATATTAAAATAGGGATGACTTTGGTTGGTTTCAGGATCAGAAGTAGCTTGAAATTGAGCTCAAAATAGAAAAAATATTAGATTTTGGCCAATCTAGTCTGCATTATGGATTTTACTAGGTCTGATTCAATTACTGGCATGTCATAAACCATGACCAATTTTTTTTTTTCAACAAGTCGGCCGTCTCCCACCGAGGCAGGGTGACCAAACAGAAAGAAAATGACCAATTATCTCTCGTTATATTTTATTATTTGAGAAATAGGATAAATCTGATTTACTGCCATGAATTAAAAATATAAGGCAAATGATATACAGGAGAGAATAAATAACAAAAAGGCACAATACCATGACTGGAACAATACACAAATAACCTACACACAGGAAAGAGGAGCTTATGACGATGTTTCGGTCGTAAGTCATAGTGTGACTCTGTAAATGGTCCAAGTTGCACCGAAACGTCGTCGTAAGCTCCTCTCTCCTATGTGCGGGTTATCTGTGTATTGTGTATATATAGGAGAGGTCTGGAGATGTGATTAATGAACAGAGAAAATGTTTTAATTAGTGGAATGTCTAAAATGTTTATTTCAGACTCTTTTTAAATTGGATCTTTTTAATTTTATAGGAAAGAGTAAGGTGATGAGGATAACAAAAAATTTGGCAATGAAAGATTGGATATCAGATTGGAGGGAGAGAGTATGGAGGAGGTGAATGTATTCAGATATTTGGGAGTGGACGTGTCAGCAGATGGGTCAATGAAAGATGAGGTGAATCATAGAATTGACAAAAGGAAAAAGGTGAGTAGTGCACTTAGGAGTCTGTGGAGACAAAGAACTTTATCCAGGGAAGTAAAGAAGGGAATGTATGAGAGTAAAGTTATACCAATGCTCTTATATGGGTGTGAAGCATGGGTGGTGAATGTTGCAACAAAGAGAAGGCTGGAGGCAGTGGAGATGTCATGTCTGAGGGCAATGTGTGGTGTGAATATAATGCAGAGAATCCATAGTTTGGAGATTAGGAGGAGGTGCAGGATTACCAAAACTATTATCCAGAGGGCTGGGGAGGGGTTACTGAGATGGTTTAGACATGTCGAGAGGATGGAACAAAATAGAATGTACTTTGAGAGTATAAATCTGTAGTGGAGGGAAGGCGGGGTAGGGGTCAGCCTAGGAAAGGTTGGAGGGAGGGGGTAAAGGAGATTTTGTGCTAGGGGCTTTGACTTCCAGAAAACATGAATAAGTGTTAGATAGGTGCGAATGGAGATAAATGGTTTTTAGGACTTGACATGCTGTTAGAATGCGAGCAAGGTAACATTTATGAAGGGATTCAGGGAAACCGGCAGGCTGGTCTTGAGTCCTGGAGATGGGAAGTACAGAGCCTACACTCTGGAGGGGTGTTAATGATGCATGTGGGCATGCCTTTGGCAAGACAGTGATGGAGTGAATTATGATTTAAATTTTTCTTTTTTGGGCCACCCTGCCTTGGTGGGAAACGGCCGGTGTATTAAAATAAAAAATAATAAAATAAATTTTTAATTTTGTGTAAAATTGGCCAAATTACTGAACTGTGTACATCTTATAAGATTGTTTTGACAGTTAAATGGGTAGTTTCTGGTGCTCATTTGATAATGAATGGAAGGTATACCAGCAAAACAGTTATGAATTTGACTGAACTGACCAATGGAATTGGCTTAAAATAAGACTGAAATTGTGTAAATTGCACCCAGACTGCTAACATTGCGACTGCGTAATTTTGTAAATTTCCATCAAATTTAGTACTTTTGGTGTCATTAGCGTTTGAAAAAAGATTCTCTACTATTTTGAAAGAATTTTTTTTTACAAATGGACACAGCAATTTTAACGTTGGATGTCATGACAGTGAGGTGGAAAGTAAGAGGGGGAAGGGATGTCCCAGAAATGATTAGAAAGAATGGACAAAGGAGGCTGTGAGATTTAGAGGCTTTAGCATCTAGCATGTGTGTGAGAGCACCTTAGATAGGAGTAAATAAAGACATGTAGTTTGTAATGAATGTACATTTAGAGTGTAAGCAAGGTAGCTTTTCTGTAAGGATTCTGGGAAACTGGTTAGTCAGACTTGAATCCTGGAGATGAAAGAGCTCACACTCTAACACATTTTTTGACCGAGATGTGATAGCCACTTTTAATTGCTGCCTCCATGATGGATATTGATTGAGATGTATGACATATTCCAGAAGGGACCCCTTGGGCTCCCACCACAGAAATAAACTTATATCTTTAATATTATTTTATTTTTTTTATGATCACACTGGCCAATTCCCACCAAGGCAGGGTGGCCCGAAAAAGAAAAACTTTCACCATCATTCACTCCATCACTGTCTTGCCAGAAGGGTGCTTTACACTACAGTTTTTAAACTGCAACATTAACACCCCTCCTTCAGAGTGCAGACACTGTACTTCCCATCTCCAGGACTCAAGTCCGGCCTGCCGGTTTCCCTGAACCCCTTCATAAATGTTACTTTGCTCACACTCCAACAGCAAAAATGGCCAAGTCCATCATCACTACTCTTGGAAACCTACATGATTACATCCTAAGGATGAAGGTCTAAATGAAAATTTACTGTCCTTAATTAATTACAACAGTAATAAAATAAGTGATACTTACTGCACCAGGTAATAAAAAACTAGAAGTAATTTCATAAGCCCATCTCTTCATTTCCTTCCCAACTCCTTCTTTGTAAAGGTGCGTTATTAAATAAAAAAACTGCAAGAGAAGTATTTTATGATCAAAACATCAATAATCAGTTACAGTAATTATATACAATAATATAGCTACAAAGCAAGCAGAAATTATATAAAAGTTTTTACAACATTTTTAATATAAGGAGTGTTTAATACATTCATGTGAATTTTTTTTAAAACGCCGGCCATCTCCCACTGATGTAGGGTTACCCAAAAAAAGAAACACTTTCACCGTTACTCATTCACTCACATTTTTGACAGAAGTGTGCTAACATCACAGCTCAGATGGCCATCCAAACTGTAATTTCCCTACCCCTCCTTGAAGGTGCAAGCACTGCACGTCTCACCTCAAGGACTCAAGTACAGCTAACCAGTTTCATACTCACATACTAACATACACAATGCTGAATGTCCAAGACCCTAGTACTCAAAACCTCCTTTACCCCCTTCCCCATCCTGTGATGGGATAACCCCTACCCTTTCTTCCCTTCACTCATTTTATACACCCTCCTAGTCATTCAATTTTGCTCTAACTTTCAATGTTAAATCTACCTAAACAACCCCTCCTCAACCCTCTGAAAAAATATTTCCCATCTCCAAGCTCTAAATTCCCTGTATAATATTCACATCACACAACATCTCAACTGCCTCCTTGCCTCACACCCATTCCAGACTATAGTGGTCTTAGTACCACTATACTTTGGTATATTCCACTTTTTACCTTTTTTTTTCCTTATTAACTCTACAGTTCACATAATCTTTTATAGACTAAATATCTGAGCACTTTTACTTCTTCCATACTTCTACCCTCCAATCTGACCTAGAGTCTTTCATTTCCTATCTTCACTTTTAATTTCCTTGGTTTCATACCCTATCAAATTAATCCACCAACTTTTACAAGTTCTTTTCAGAATCTCACAAAAGAACCATGTCAATGGCAAAAGAGCAACTGTGACAACTTTCACTTTGTATCAAAGTCATTATCTTTTAATCCCACATCTCGCCACCAACACCTTAGCATTCACTTTTTTTCAACCCCATCTATAAATATGATGAAAGTTTTTTCTTTCTTTCTGGGTCACCCTGCCTCAGTGGAAAACAGCCGATGTGTTAAAAAAAAATCTATAAATATGATAAACCACCATAGTGACAACACTTCCCAGTCTAAGGCCTACTTTTATTGAAAATAATCCCCCATTCTGTTACATACCCTGATCTAAGCCTCACTATCCACATACAAACCTGTTACTGCATATAACAACCTACCACATATTCCATAAACAGTTTTTGCATTATCTACCACACTGCTTCCATATCCATCCTACTAAAAGTCTTTTCTAAAGCCATAAATGCAACATAAAATTCCTTAACTCTAAGTATTGTTCACTTACATATTTCAATGTAAAGAATTGGTTTAAACATCCCCATCCTTCCTGAAACCTCCTCTTTTTTTTTTTTTTTTTTTTTTTTTTTTACACTTCTGATTTTTGTCTTACCCTTAATATTTTTCCATAATAACTCTACTATGCATATTACTTGGAATACCCAGCAGACTTTTTTTGTTTTTTTTTAACATGCTGGCCATCTCCCACTGAGGCAGGGTGACCCAAAAAAAGAAACACACTTTCACCATCATTCACACATAATCACTGTCTTTGCAGAAGTATGCAGATACAACAGTTCAGATGTTGCTCCAAACAGCAAACAAATGACAGACTTATTCCTCTATAATTCTTACTCTCTCTTTTATCCCCCTTTCCCTTATACAAAGAAACTATGCATGCTCTCTGCCAATCTCTTGGTAACTCTTTCACTTTTGTGCACATACTGAACAAACACACCAACCATTCCAAAACTACATCCCCACCAGCTTTTAAAATATGTTTTGATCCCATCTATCCCAGCTATTCTACTCCTTTTGATTCAACCCAGTGCCTGTCACACTTCTCCCACACTCACATCTGGCTCTTCTCCACTCCTACAAGATGTTATACCTCCCTGTTCAATACATAAAATTACTACTTCCCTTTCTTCATCAATATACAACAATTCCAAAATTAACAATATAATACATGCAAGTTTTACATCTACTGTATGTCAAAAGATAGTTAGGAAACCTAAGTTTAATAAATATACAAAAATAAACACAACTTAGGTATGCCAAACATATGTAAGATCAGCCTAACTACAATTAGTACTGTTAATCTTCAATGAAACAAATATCTTAGTGTGGAGCTTGTGATTCACCTAATTTTTCCTAGACTCATCTGTTAACACCTCCACTTTAAATATCATAAGACATTAACTTCCTCCATGTGCATTCATTCCAATCTTATATTCCCTAGACATCCTACTCTCATCAACTTCCTTTTTTCTATATTATGAAGTTTCACCTTCCTTCTTTTACTCATTACTCCAAATTTCTTCATCAACTTCTGCAAATTCTCAAAGCAGAGTGACACCAGAAAAAAAAAATGGATATCAGCAAAGAGCAACTGTGAAAACTCACTCTATATAAGATTTTTTTTTTAATACAATTGCCATCTCCCACTGAGGTAGGGTGACCCGAAAAATAAGAAACACTTATATGAAGTTTTTCTTCTTTTTAGATTTAGTAATTTATGCAGAAGGTATTACTAGCTCCTTGCTCCCGGAATTTTAGTCACCTCTTAAGACATATATGGCTTAAGGAGGAAGGATTCTTCTCTACTTTCCATGGAGTATATTAAGAGTCATTATCACTATTGGCAATTCTCTTAAGCCTGCACCTCTCTCCAAGACTAGCATGCACATCGTATATTAATCCATTAACAACAAATGATTCTGAAGATTGAGAAATGAATTTTTGCATAGAACCTGATGACCCACTATAAACATTACCACTGCACTATCACGTACCTCATATGCATAGTCTGTACTCTCCCAGTACAGACTATGCATACCTCTTTCAACTCTGCACTCTCCCAGAATGGACTAGTTTATTTTTTAGTTTCTCACTTTCAGAGACTAGAGCCATCTAGCAGCAACCAGCCACCTGAGCCACCAACTGACAAGAAGTGAAAAACAGCTGATATGAGGGCGTAGCGGTTTCTGCCAGTCGTCAGGCTTTGACATAATTTTTTTTTTTATTTTTAAAACCATTTACCTCCTGTGAAAAACTGATGAACCACTAGGAATTCTATCATTACTCCAATCACAGTGGAGACAGCTGTAGAATTGGCCAGTAATCCAAGGTCCAAGTAACAGAGAAAGAGAGGAACTCAAACAAAAACAGGGCTCTTCAACTGAAATGGCTTACGAGTATGCTGGCTTGGACGAAATGGCAGAGGATCTCTTATTGCCAGCTAAGTAAAGCCCAGCATACAGAAGTAAGAGCCATCTGAAGCTCACCACTGCTAGGCAGGAGAGGGTAAGCAGCTTGGCATAATGCAGATGATATATGGAAAGCCACCAATGTTGGTCTAAAGATTACTCTGGCCTAGGAATTTGTGAACTCACTGTCAGGTTGAATAAGCATTATACTTCTTAATATTGATACTCGATGCATATTCCCAAGGCCAGAACATGAAACACTTCAGATTCCAGTTAAATAAGTGTGAATTTTGCTGGGGTCTAGAATGTCCCCCAGAAAGATCATGTTGAATCAAACAGGCTCTCCCAAGTTCAAAAGGTGATCATGATGAATGTCCAACCAGGTTCTAGCAATTAAACCAGAGATCAGAAACATCAGTACCTACCCCAGCAGGAGCCTCACTGACATTCTAGAAAGGGAATGCATGGAAACAAAGGAGATGGGTGTGCAAGGTGTCATATATTCACTTACTGGTCAGCTGCATGAGTTCCAGACTCAGTTCTAGTGGAACCTGGACTGCCAAGGTTAATAAGGCAGCAATCTCCCTTGCGTCATGGTAATGGACTGTGGGACGACTTCTTCCCAGGTGGAAGTAGGTATCAAAGATGCAACATCATAACCATGATGAAATCAGCTGAGAATGGCTGGCTGATGAAGAAGCCTGTCTGTTTCAAGTCACTTGGCCATCTCTCTGGAGGAAGCAATAAAACTTTTGGGGGCTATATGGCACCTGGGGAAATGGGAGGCCCTCAGGTTTAATCCAAGATGTGGGCAGGTCCAGTTTTTTGTATCAACAACCTCTCCCCAACATGACTGAGAAGGAAATATGGGACAAGACCTGACATCGTCTAGAACATGTTCCAAATGCCACTGAGGGACAATCTTATGACAAAGACACTTCAGAAACATTGCCTCAATGGTGCTCTTGAATAAGTCAGACAAAAAGAGACATGTCCAGATAATACAAAGATTCATCTAAAATACACCTGAAGACCTGAACAGTGTCAATGGCTTTATCTCACTGGAATATCCTGATGAAGAATTTAGCATCCATATGCAAGATAATTCCAAAAGTCACGATGTCCAGGAAGAGTATGAAGACTTTCAGCACCAACTTGTACTAGTAATGAGTAGAAATGCAGTGACTGCTCCAGACAAATGGCGAGTCTCTAACATCAGGCCAACTCTTTGAAGAACGTTGCACACCTACCATCCGACTTACGACCTGCTCGACTTACGACCACTTGACTTACGACCGTGTTTTTTTTTTTTTGCCAAATTTCTGGGAAATAAGCAACTATTTGTGTTGTACACAGTGTTTATCCTAAACCTTACAGTATAAAATACAGTACTAACAGCATAAAAAGTAAAGTAAAACATGAAATACCAAAATAAAACAATAAAATAAAGTCATTACAAAAATGTGATGTTGATATTCAGTAGTAAAGTTTGACTTACGTCCATTTCGACTTACTACCGGTTCCTCGGAACCGAACTCAGTCCTAAGTCGGATGGTAGGTGTATATAACGGCCATGTGTGAAGAGACAAAGTTTAGCATACCCTGCTGTCAAAACCAGCTTCCTGACACTGCTCCTTACAAAATCTTCAAACACTGCAGATTTGTACATTCTTTTGGCTAGACAGTCTCAACATCTTCTCTCTGAATTACGTAACTTTCATACCAGCATGCCCTTTCAAATTTCTACAGTATTTATTTGATGAATAAATTTCAAACCACACAGATCTCAAAAACAGCATTCTTGCTGCTTCCAGCCTCATTCTCACTGCAACCTGTGTACATTGTGTGTATCATTTAAACACCATGCCTCACTTGTACAGGTGATGATAAGCTTTATTCTTTTTTTAAAGATTCAACCCTCCAACTAGCTTTTATCCCTGATTTATTCTGATTTACCTTATCTTTTACAGACCTATCTGATGACCCATCCACTCCAAAATACTGAATTTCAATAAACTCTCTTCCTCTGTACTCCTTTCCTTCAATCTGATGCTCAGTCTTTCATTCACTAGACTTCTCATTCTCATATTATTATTATTAATATAGCTTAACATTTCACAACATTATATGAAATTTCAAAGCTCAGGAAAATTACACATTTACCCTAAACACACTTAATGAAACCAAGTAATCCAACAGACTGTACAGTTAGTGATACATACCAAACTGGATGAGTCACAGTTGGAGATGACGTAATTCATAAAGACCGCAAGATAAGCATTATGGTTAAAGAGTTTGCTCAGAGACTGGAATGGACCGTGATCTTCAAGCTGCAAGGTAAATAGTATAATTTATAGTAATGTTACATATAGTAGTAATTATTTAAAGCTAATTACTGGCACCTAATATGCTGGAATTATCAAACACCTCAAAACTTCTTTCTCAAGATTTTTTTTTTTTTAACATGTTGGCCATTTCCCATCATGGCATGGTGATATATTTCTTTTACATAATGCATTTATTCATGGTTCTTTATTAATTATGTACCACAATAGTTATAAAACCTATATCTACTCCCTGCATTGGACACTATTGTTCTCATGTTTGGAGATCCACAAGTCCCTCCAATAAAGTACTCAGCCTCAACCCTCCTGTGACCTTAGTTACTAAATAGGGCAAATAATCTCTCTCTATTAATTAAAATTTGTACCCTGTGAAACTAGTATAATCTTGCTTCTTGTTTACATATATAAATAAAACTTCCAACTAACAAACTGTAATACTGTACATTGCTGCCATACTATTTATGAAGAAAATGTTCTATTATTTTTTGGCACTGCTTTTTCGTTGGTTTACAATTGTGACTGACTTCTTTTTCTTCCTAGTGATGGTGCTAAGAAATAATCTTTATCTATTTTTTATTATATTTTAATGAATTATTCTGTGTTAGGATCCTGATAAACCACTTTGAAATAACAACCCAGAAATACAGTGAACCCCCGACTCACAAAGGCCTCTTCTTACGATAAAATCAACTTACGAAGCATTTCAGCATAAAAAAACTTCCCCGATCTACGAAGAAAAACTCAGTCCGTCTGGCCAGAGCGCCTCACCTCAGCTAGTGCCGTTGCTTACAAGCCAGGGTGGAAGGTTGCGCGCATACATTCGATAAATTTTGTATTATTCCATTCTTTTTAGTGCTTGTAACTGCTAAATAAGCCACCATGGGTCCAAAGACAGCTTCTAGTGCCAACCCTGTGGTAAAAAGGGTGAGAAATACTATTCAAATACTATCGTACCATGATCAGCTGCTGTTGTATCACGGTCAGCTGTTGCTGCACCACTGTCAGGTGCTGCTGTACCATGGTCAGCTGCTGTTGTACCATGGTCAGCTGCTGTTTCTGCTGTACCACAGTCAGCTGCTGCTTCTGCTGTACCACAGTCAGCTGCTGCTGCACCACCGTCAGCTGTTGCTGCACCACCATCAGCTCCTGCCGTACCACGGTCAGCTGCTGCTGTACCAGTCAGCTGCTGCTGCACCACCATCAGCTGTTGCTGCACCACCGTCAGCTGTACTACTTGAAGATGTGGAGAGACTGTTGTTGGTGTGGCTTAACGAGAAACAATTACCGAGAAACAATTAACCCCAGAGGGTTAGCCACCCAGGATAACCCAAGAAAGTCAGTGTGTCATCAAGGACTGTCTAACTTATTTCCATTGGGGTCCTTAATCTTGTCCTCCAGGATGCGACCCACACTAGTCGACTAACACCCAGGTGAACAGGAAAAAATGCTGGAACTAGTGCTCATATTGGTGAATTTAAGGCCAGCAAAGGCTGGTTTGAGAGATTTAAGAATTGTAGTGGCATACACAGTGTGATAAGGCATGGTGAAGCTGAAAAATTCCAACCCCAACAAGTGTTTAATTGTGACAAAACAGGCCTGTTCTGGAAGAAACTGCCAAACAGGACCTACATTACTCAGGAGGAAATGGCATTCCCAGGACACAAGCCTATGAAAGACAGGCTAATTCTTGTGTTTTCTTGTAATGCTAGTGGGGATTGCAAAGTGAAGCCTTTACTCATGTATCACAGAAAATCCCAGAGTGTTCAAGAAAAACAGTGTCTCATCACTCATCACTACATCTTCAATAAAGGTAAGCGTCATTTATTCTTCATTTAGTACAGTATATTGTGCATGTATCCTTCTTCTTGTGTGTAGGAAAATGTATATTTCATGTGGTAATTTTTTTTTTTTTCATACTTTTGGGTGTCTGGAACGGATTAATTGGATTCTTATGGGGAAAATTAATTCAATTTACAATAATTTCATCTAACAATGAGCTCTCTGGAATGGATTAATATCGTAAGTCGAGGGCCCATTGTACCTTTATTACACCAGTACGAGAACTTCCCAACCATTTTAGCTCAATATGATTCCTTCTGATTTATATTTCCTATTGTGGATCAATGGTTTATTTGTTATTTTCAGGTTGCTACTAGATAACTTCTCCTTTTTAGAGACCATCAAAGAGACAAGACTTTCTCAAATTATTCCTTTTATTTATATTAACTTTTCAGCTGGTAATGGATTTTAGTCAAGATACTGAATGGGTCTCCAATAGACCTATGCATTTATGTTGTGTTTCAAATTTATACATCCTTGGAAAGTCTCATTCAGATTATGCTGCACAGTTCTGGTCTCCATATTATATAATATGTAGACATAAATGCACCAGAAAACATACAAAGAAGGATGATGAAGTTGATCCCAACTATAAGAAATCTTTCCAGTGAGGACAGACTGAGGGCACTGAATCTGCATCCTCTGGAAATGTGCAGAATTAGGGAGTATTTGATTGAAGTGTACCAAAAGAAGACAGGAATAAATTAAGAGGATATAAATAATGTGCTGAGAATATATAACCAAGACAGGACTGGTTTGGCAACAGAAGTGTAGGTAAGTGGAACAAATTCCTGAGTAGTGTTAGTGAATCAAGAACTTTGGGTAGTTATAATAGCATGAGCCAGTAGGCCTGCGACATAGTTCCTCATTTTTTTATTTTTTTATGTATGTGCACTTACAGACCTTGAGAATACAAAAAGATACTTTATAACAACAAGGGCTATGAGGTTTATGTTCAATGATTTAGGTAATGATTAATCAATAAAGATCAATTATAGTCTGTCACCTATGCTAAAAGGTGAGTGAGGTCTCAATCCTAGTTCTCAAAGTCTGACATCAATCTCTGTTAGAGATTTAACAGGTTCCTTGCATCTGATATATGCACTATGTTTCCTCTCTGTACCTTGCCAAACAAAAATTTTAGGAGGGTAAACCCTTGTTTCTCTGATGGAGGCTCTGACGAAATCCACAGACATATCAGGAATTCTAATTAATGTCCTTCTTTTGTTGACATGGCCTATCATTCCAAAAATATTCGACCTAGAAGTTGCACCACCTCAACCAAACAATAAAAAAACATGATGTTATATTTCACTCACAATTTTGATAATTTTATCATAGACTTTTGTGCTATACACTCACCAAGAGGGGTTATAACACCCCAATGCCTGTAATAAACAATGAACCTATCTCTGGTGGGGAAAGGTACAGTGCATGACAACACTTCTCTCTAATAGACATTATCAGACCCTGTCTAATTTGTCAGACTTTTTGAGTTATGTATACATAAAATGAGAATATACCACCACCATGCCTCTACTTAACAGGCGGGTCTACACATTGCATCATGAAGTAACAATGCCTAACTGGAACAAATTAATGATAAAACCAAGACCTGTTATTCCACTCATAGCTTCCATACCAGCAAAGAGGGTGTGAAATTGTCAGGAAGATGCCTTGTTCATCCCTAATTTATTACACATACATGACACTTAACAGTGGAATTCTGCAAATAAGGACACTAAATTAAAGCTAGGATAACCCAACAAAGTCAAATAATGTGACTTATCAGTAGCATCGTATGGGGAGCAGACCACCCTGGGTGACACCACAGAGCCTCTAAAGAATGTGACGCTAATGCCCAAAAAAGTGCTGCAGCAACATAAGACAAAAATCCTTCATTTCTATATAGCCTCTTATATGATTACAGAGTACAAATAGGCCTATATAGGGAAAATCATTGATTTTGATGATGTGATAGATGATTCTGCAGGATTGAATGCAAGGAAATGTAAGATCAGATTCACCGAGATGTTACCTGTAATCAAGGTCAAATTGGAACTAGTGTTTCTCTGATATTGCAATGTTTTTCTTTATTTTTCAAGTTTTTTTTTTTTTGCATTGTTGAAGATGAATAAATGTAGTATCTGTAGGATTATTTATTTTATCATTAATAAAGTTGAGAAGTATTCTCCTGTTTGGTTTATGGCCCCTTGAATGTTCTCATTGCTAAACATTAGTCATTGGTCATGCAGTAGTGACAAAACTGAAGTTTACTCCCCCATCCTCCCCGTCCGTGGATTTTATAGGGGTGACACCAAAGATGATGCCCCAGGTGACATCAACTCTAGCAACGCCATGGTGACTTATTTCCATGTTTTCATGAGTACAGTGGACCCCCGCATAACGATATTAATCCGTTCATGAGAGCTCATTGTTATGCGAAACTATCGTTATGCGAATGAATTTTCCCCATAAGAAATAATGGAAATCAAATTAATCCGTGCAAGACACCCAAAAGTATGAAAAAAAATTTTTTACCACATGAAATATACATTTTCCTACACACAAAGAGAAGGATACATGCACAATAGTAGAGTAGTACATGCACAGTATATATTGTGCATGTACTACTCTACTAACTGAAGAATAAATGATACTTACCTTTATTGAAGATGCAGCAATGACTGATGAGACACTGTGTCCTGGGAGTGCCTTTTCCTCCTGAGTACTGTATGTCCTGTTTGGCATTTTCTTCCAGAACAGGCCTTATCACACTGTGTATGCCACTACGATTCTTAAATCTCTCAAACCAACCTTTGCTGGCTTTAAATTCACCAATATGAGCACTAGTTCCAGGCGTTTTTCCCTGTTCACCTGGGTGTTAGTCGACTGGTGTGGGTTGCATCCTGGGAGACAAGATTAAGGACCCCAATGGAAATAAGTTAGACAGTCTTCGATGACACTGACTTTTTTGGGTTATCCTGGGTGGCTAACCCTCTGGGGTTAATTGTTTCTTGGTATTCTCAATAAGCCACACCAACAACGGTGCTACAGCAGCAGCAGCAGCAGCAGCAGCTGACAGTGCTACAGCAGCAGCAGCAGCTGACAGTGCTACAGCAGCAGCAGCAGCTGACAGTGCTACAGCAGCAGCTGACAGTGCTACAGCAGCAGCAGACTATGCTACAGCAGCTGCAGCAGCTGACAGTGCAGCAGCAGCAGCAGCTGATGGTGGTACAGCAGCAGCAGCAGCTGACGGTGCTACAGCAGCAGCAGCAGCAGCTGACAGTGCTACAGCAGCAGCAGCAGCAGCAGTTGACTATGGTACCACAGTATTTCGATAATATTTCTCACCCTTTTTACCACAGGGTTGGCACTAGAAGCTTTCTTGGGGCCCATGGTCACTTATTTTGCAGATAAAATCACCAAAAACACTGTAATAATACGAAATGATACGATTGTATGCTTGGATGTTACCGCGGAGGCTGGCTTGTAAACAATGCCACCGGCGGAACATGTGAGGCTGGCTCAGGCCGCACATTAGACGCGTCTCGGATGAATAGTGTTGAGCGGGTTTTTTAGCGGTATGCGAGGCAAAAACTTAGTGATAAAATGTATCGGTATGCGGATTTAACGTTATGTGATGCCAACGGTATGCGGGGGTCCACTGTACTACATCTTTAACCCTTTCAGGGTTTCGGATGTACTAGTACGGCTTATGCACTAGGGTTTTTGACGTACTAGTACGCCTAAATTCTAGCGCCCTCAAATCTAGTGAGAGAAAGCTGGTAGGCCTACATGTGAAAGAATGGGTCTATGTGATCAGTGTGCGCAGTATAAAAAAAATCCTGCAGCACACAGTGCATAATGAGAAAAAAAACTTTGACCATGTTTATGGATTAAAGCAACGACTTTGCACTGTATTTTCGTATGGCATTTATTGTTGTATTCCAGTTTTCCTGGTCTCATTTTATAGAATGGAAGACATATTACAGAAATTGACATGATTTTGACTGGTTTTACAATGAAAAGTACCTTGAAATTGAGCTCAAAGCAGCAGAAATGTTTGATTTTTACCGAAGTTCAAAAGTAAACAAATCATGCTATGCGTTCAATACATGTCAACTGGTGAGTCTAATATTCTTTCACAAGTGCACTGGTATTATTTATACCATTTCTACACTAATGCAGTAGTCTGCATAACAGTAAATCTTCTATTTTTTGTGAGAATAAAAATTCAATGTGGAAAGCAGAAGAATGTAAGAGGGGCATGGGGACATGACTAATGAACAGAGGAAATGTTATTTTAGTGCCAGGAATGTCTTTCTTGTTTATTC